TCAAAAATCAAACCCCGGTCAAATTTTATTTAGAAGATAATATATTATATTATATTCCATTAAATTAATATTTTAGTATTTTTTTGCAGTTATAAAATTGAAGGCGGTCTGCTTCGTTTGGATGGAAATCACATATCGAGACATTTTGTTGATGCGGTAACAATTTTAAATTTTATTTTAATTTAAATTATTAGTAATAATTTATTTTTTTTATTTTTATTATTTGTTTATATATTAATTTTTTTAATTATTAATAATTTTAGGAGAGCGACCGTATATTAGATCATTTTATTCGCAACCTTAAGTAAGCGATACCAACCCGTGTATGGTCGTATTTAGTCGAGGTTGGATTCGGTTACATATCTAGATATGAAGGCCACTGTAGGATAGAACCAAACCTGATTTCTGCATTAGTCGAGCGGTGGAGACCGAAGACACACACATTCCATCTTCCGTGCGGAGAGTGCACAATTACGTTGGAGGATGTTTTCATGCACTTGGGGCTTCCGGTGTATGGAGATGTGCTTTCACGGGTGGTGAACGGTAACTGGAATTCTTTGTGCCAGGAATATTTAGGAGGTGTCCCGCCAAATTTTAACGATGGTCGGATTCCGTTAAATTGGTTGGATGCAAATTTCCAGAATTTGAATGAGGACGCCTCGGAGGATCAAGTTAAAAAGTATGCATGAACATGCATACTACAGATGATAGGAGGGTTGTTGATACTGGAAAAATTGCGCTTTCCAATTTTACAACCACAAAAATTAATTAAAAAAAATAGTACAATATTTTTTTTTCAAATAATCATATATAAAAAAAATTATCTTACAACGAAAAATTAAACGAACTTCTGAATCAAAAATAAGAAGATTGTTGGGTGATGTTTACGGGTTGAGAGAATTGTTATGTGATGTTTACGGGTTGAGAGGATTGATGTGTGATGTTTTAAGGGTTGAGAGCTTATTATTTATAGCCGAGAGAAAAGTTTAAAAGCCAAGAAATTCGGGTACAATTATAAAAGACGCTGCCCATGCACCACGCTTTTCTGACGTGAGTATCAGCTGATAGAAAGGCGCGGCCCATGCATCGCGCCTATCGCTGGTGTGGCTCCAGCTGGCGTAAGGTGCGGTGCATGGGCCACGCCTTACCCCACGTGGCACCAAATCAGCGTAAGGCGCGGTGGGTCGCGCCTTTCTGCAAAGGGTTCTAGATCCGTAATATTTTCTCTAACGGTGTCTGACATATAAATAATTTAAAAATGGGTGATTTTTCGAGAAAATTACCTTGATAGCGGAGCTTGCATGCCAAAGTTGTTACAAAATTGATCCACTTTGGGTGGTCTAGGAACTGCCAAATAGCGAATAGGGTGATGTGAACATGTGTGTCTCTCCAATGTACCTTTTTAATTAGCTTATCCAAAATTTGAACAATGATTTGTGTTATTTTTAAATATACTAGCCTTCATGCCCAATTACTATCGCGGATTTGATATATAATAATAAAAACACTTATTTTATATTTAATAATTATTATTTCAATATTTTGTATTTGGATGTTTCTTATAGATAAATCTATATAAAAATTATAACTAAATTTGAGATAAATAAAATTATGATATGAAAAATATAAAAATATGATAAATAATATAATCTGAATATTGTTATACATTTAGAGGTAACCTCCGAAAACCTCTCCGTCCACCAGAGTCTTCGACTAGTCTATATCCTTTAAACACATGTTTTTTTATCAACTACAACACAGACAAGACCTTTGATAAGCCATATGATGTGGCTGAATGAAATCTAAAGTCATACCATCAAATCTTGTTAGTCTGATCAATCTACGAATAGCCATCACGGTCTTCGGCTGACTCAGACACTAACAACTACTATATCCCCAATCGTTACTAGAGTGGGGGATGGATCTCTACAATCTCAACACCCTTCTCCTTCATCACCTTCTTCCTCATGAACCTTTCTCTTCACCATAAAACATTGGTCAATGGTCATTCTTTCATCGGATGTAACTTTTCGTCTAAATTAAAAGAGGTGAACAGTTAACGATCAATAACACAATTTCTTTTCATCAACAACTATGGAAAATGGAAACAAGATTTGTATGATCAATTTAACAAATATAGTTCAGTCACCCAAAAAAATAATCTAACTAATGTACCATTGGTCATTTCATATATGATTTACACAAATATAATACAATTCTCAAACACACGATCAAATCTTGACATGAAGATCAAATTTACCCTAAACCAAAGAGAATTGGACATTTGATGAGTGGAAATTCATCTAAAATTGAGTAAATAGCCCTATTAGTATTAATCAAACCTTTTATAGTGCAACCTTAACAAACTATTAAACTTATAAAGGCATTAATTGAAGTATTAAAAGATGCTAAAAGAAATCGCCCCAATGCTCTTTAGATCTTATTGAAACCCTAAAATCATCTCAATCTGATGACAAGATGCAAAATATATTACTAAACTCTCCTCTTCCCATATGTTAAATAACATTTCCTAAATGAGAATTCCTCAATCAAATTCAGCATAAAAGACTAAATTATAGAACAAATGGGGGAAAGTAAATCCCCATTGCATGAAACTTAAAAATATTAAAAATAGGATAAAGTACATAAATGGTCTTTCAACTATAGAGTGTTGTTTTGTTGAATCATTCGACTATTAAAAGTCATTCGACTAAAGGGTGTTGATTTGTTGAGTCGCCTAGCTATTAAAAGTTACAAAATAGTCATCCGACTATTCATATGTTACAAACTCATTTTTTTCTGTTAAAAAGTTGACGGTCGCCTAAGATGGACATTAACATGTTGATTGAAATATGATTAAATTATATTTTAATGATGTCTAGTGATACCTATTGAATTATGTTTCGATATAACAAGTTTAAAGATAAAATGTTTTTGGACTTGAATTAAATTTATTCAAAGTTTTAAAAAGGTTTCAAAAAATAATTCAAAGTCCATTAAATTCGGATTTGAGCAAAAATGCTAAAGGGTGTCAAAGTGCATCCATGCACCTGCCACTAGTGCATCGATGCACTATGCAGTATATCCATGCACTCCATTTCGAATGCACTTAGTGCATCGATGCATCCTGCTGTGCATCCATGCACGAAGGTTGCAACGGCTAGTAACGACTAGTTTATTTGAATTTAATGAAGGGGTATCGATGCACCTTGATAGTGCACCGATGCACCATGTTATGGGCAGCCTTTTTGAGTAGAAAAATCATCCCCAAACGGCTCCAAAACATCCCCAACAGTTATATACGACATCAAACACATTCCAAGCTATAAATACAAGCTAAGGACACTTGAAGAAGTATGAGAATAACTATCCAAGCAATCAAACACAAGAGAAGAGTTTTTCATTCTTATTTCATCTTTCTCTTGTAAATATTTTGTTCTTGTGAGCTCAATCTTGTAAACACCTACCTTAGAGAGGTTTTCTTGTTTACATCTTTTATCCTTTTATAAAGGGGAAATGTTCTAGCTTATCCGTGTAAAAGCTAGGAAAATGTTTTAGTTTAGCCTGGAAAAACTAGGGAGTTGTAAGGTTATCTATTTGTCCTCAAAAGAAAGAACAAATTAGTGAATTTGTTGGAAAATCTTTGGTGAGGAGCTAAGGTAGTGGATGTAGACTTTGGTTGAGAAAGTCGAACCACTCTAAATTACTGTACAATTTTCTATCTTTCAATCTCCTTACTCCCTAAACACAAAACCGTTCCGACCCCTCTTTGCAAACCGTTCCGGTTGTCGAATCGAGCTTCCGAAAATCCCAACAATACCGTCGTTGCTTTCAAAAACTGGCTCCGCGATATAATGTAAACGAATAGTCGATCTACAAAATACAACTCAAACGGTTATGAGATTAGATTTTATCATATCAGTCAACAGGTTAACGTCTAACTCAGGCGACCACTAATTTTTTAACAAAAAAAGATGAGTTTGGAACATATGAATACTTGAGAGACCATTTTACTTTTAATAATCGAATGACTCAATAAAATAACGCTCTATAGTCGAAAAATCATTTTGTAACTTTTAATATTTTATGAATACAAAAATGTAATACTATATAGTCGAGAGACCGTATTTTATGTTGTAAAATACTGACACATAAATGAGGGTATTGGCATTCACCCAGTAGATATGAGTTCATTTCCAGGCAAATTTGTATTCCCCCCCCCCCAACCCCCAAAATTTATTTCCTTCTCGCTAGAAATCAACATGAAAAGAAGAAAACCAGGAAACCTGCTTAACCCTTTTCAATGCATTAATTTGGCACTGCAATTCATTTTGTGATTATAATGTATATCTATTCAAAATTTTATAGCTTATTAATAATTTATACACATTATGCGGATACAATTATTTAAATTTAATTTTTTTTTTAAATATAATATTACTTTTTATCACTGAAACCTCTCAACGAATTCCTACAATTCAAAGAAAGAACAAAATGTTACTATGATCAAATACTGAAACTAAAAATGAAAAATACCAATAATTTGTCATGGCCTGTTTATCCTTTGGTTTAATCTTGGTTTTAACCCCTCTACTGTTTGGAAATTTAAGATATGATCCCTTTACTTTGGTCCCAATAACCTGACCCGGTTAACATAAATATTAAAATGGCTTGAAGTTGAAATGATTTAAATCTAAAATAATTTAAACAAGTAAATGCACATTGTTCGTAATGACTTGAACTTAAAATGATAGACACGATTAATGTAAACCTAAATGATCCAAATCTAAAATAAATTAAACCCAAAATATTCGAATAGGAAATCATCTAAAAATAAATAAATTGATTTGAATTTAAATTGGTAAAAAAAATTAAAATATGAATTAATTCGACTCATTGTGACCCGATGTAAATCAAACCAATTAAGCATTCAAGAGGAGCATTTTGTTAAAGAAACCCATTATCTTCTGGGTTTGGTGGACCCAAGTTTCGGGCTTTCGGCTATATGGAATGATCCCTAATTTGCTAACCAGGAACAACAATTTTGAAGAATGTCCCTCACTATTTTCTCTGCTACAGGCCTCTCCTTTTGAGCTTCAGTAACATGCTTCAATGGCGGCAATCAAATTGAGTTGGAGGAGAAAGCATCAAAACAAAGTCCCAAATGAATGGCAAGAATGTCCATTCGTGAACTCCTCCGTTTCAGATACACCATCTTCGCTAACCCAACTCTCCTCTCCTCTTCACCAAAACCCAATCACCGATTTCCATCGCCGTTTTATTCTACCGAGTCCAGAGCAATCACGTTTCCCTGGCGAATAACCCTTTCGATTCTCGATTCGTGTCCAGATATAAAGAAACTGTTTCAAATCCAAGCTCACTTGATTACTTCGGGTCTATTCCAAAATCCCTTTTGGGTGGACAGGGTTTTGATGCATTCTTCAAAGTTCGGCTACATTGATTATACTGTTTCGATCTTCCGGTGCATTGGGGATCCTGGTACTTTCCGTGTTAATTCCGTTATCAAAGCTTACTGTTTTAGTTCTTTGCCCCATCAAGCTGTGGTTTTTTATTTCCAGATGCGAACTCATGGATGCTTTGTTCCAAACAGTTATACTTTTCTGCCACTTTTAAGCTCTTGTTCGAAAATGGGTTGTTCTAAATCTGCCCGAAAGTGTCACGCCCAGGCAATTAAATTTGGTGTCGTTAATAATTTGCCTGTATACAACTGCTTGATTCATATGTATGGTTGTTGTGGGATTCTTGAGTTTGCTAAGAAAGTGTTCCTTGAAATGTCTCGAAGGGATATTGCCTCATGGAACTCTTTCATTGATGCCTGTGTTAAAGTTTGGGATTTGGGTCTGGCTCACAATCTGTTTGATAGAATGCTTGAAAAGAATGTGATTTCTTGGAATATTATGATTAAGGGGTATTTAAAAGCTGGGAATCCGGGGTGTTCATTGAAGTTATTTAGACAAATGGTGGGAACTGGATTTATGGGGAATGAGAAGACTGTTGCTAGTGTGCTTAGTGCCTGTTCTAAGTCGGCTAGATTAAAGGAAGGGAGATCCGTTCATGGATTTTTAATCAAGAATGGCATGAAGTCGAATGTAATAATTGATACAGCTTTGGTTAATTTGTATTGTAACTGCCAGAAAGTAGGATTAGCTCGTAGGATGTTTGATAAGATCACAAATAGGAATCGAGTTTGCTGGAATGCCATGATTTTGGGGCACTGCATTCATGGTAATCCAGCAGATGGTCTAAAATTATTCGCGGATATGATTGATCGATGCAAGGTTAGAGGAGAAGAGGGAATTTCTCCCGACGAAATTTCTTTCGTTGGCGTTCTAAGTGCTTGTGCTCGTGCGAGATTGGTAACAGAGGGCAGAAACTATTTCAGCCAAATGAAAAACAAATTCGGTATAAAGCCAAACTTTGCACATTATTGGTGCATGGCGAATCTTTATGTTGGTGCCGAACTTTCACTAGAGGCGGAGGAGATCCTAAGGCAAATGTCGGATTGTGCTGAGGATTTATCATCTGACTCTGTGATCTGGGCTAACTTGCTCATCTCTTGTCGATTTAGGGAAGGTGCGACTGTTGGGGAAAGAATAGCCAAATGTTTGATCGAAAAAGAGCCAAAAAACTTCTCATATTATAAGTTATTGATGAATGTGTATGGTGTGGCAGGGCAGTGGGAGGATGTTGCTAGAGTAAAACAGTTAATGAAGGATAGGGGGATAGAAAGAGTTGCTGGGTGTAATCTTGTAGATTTGAAAGGCATTGTTCACAATTTAAAAGTAGATGAACTATGGAGGGAGAGTGTGGAGCAAAGGGATGCTAAGCTTGCTGAAAGCTAGTTTACTTTTGCCCGATACTATTTTACCAGTTCATTGTTTTTGATAATGCAAATGCATTTTTACTTGAAATAACATGTTCCCCATTGATACAAACAAATGCTATTTCACCCAACTTCAACAGCTTCGCTTTACAAAGTATGCAAAAGGTGCCCCTTGACAAAACATTGACTGTCTAAGCTTATAATCCCTCGTTAATATTACTCAACTTTGATTCAATGTACAATGTCATTTATAAACTTGGATATAATTTAATTATAGGATTTTGATTTTGTTCTCAATATTGATATAATACCTTTTCATGTTTATTTGTGTTCAAATGTACACAATCAAATCGAAGTTTAATACAAATTCCATTAAGGAAAAATAAAAATAAAAATTTCTTGTGCAATAACACCAAATTAAAGATCTGTTCGACAGTATGGAAGTTAATATGGTAGGAGAAGAAAAACAAACCAAATTCATTTTCATCCCTTTCTCTTTTACTTTATAAATTCTAGGAGCATATATATAGCTACGGAGAAACAACCAAAATCATTGTGACAAACGCAATTTAGACAAACCATTCTCGTTCATATCATAAACCATGATTTAAGGATCATTACAAACTTGGTCTGGTGAAGTTATAAGACATGTAGGAACATAAACGACACTTTGAAGTGTTTAAACAGCTCAGAAAGTACGGATGAAAAGTCAGAGCAATAGAATAAATTTTATAAAGAAGTTTGATACAATCGAACAGGCACCGGAATAGCCGAAACTTTCACTCAAATGCCCACTGATTCTCCCTACGAACCTCTTCCTCCTCTTCAGGGGTGAAGTCATTCTTGATATTGAAAGTCTTCCGGATCTCTTCCGGGGTCTTTCCCTTGATCATGTCGGCAACAGTTTGACAAGTAAGATCCAGTAAGCCCTTGATGTTCAAATAGTTGGCTGCCTGCAAATGTATATTACATCGACGACATATAATTTTCACAGAAGGCCGAATGAAATAAGACACGAGCAACAATTATGGATTTTTTTCTTATTGGTTAACTGAAAACATATATGCAACCTAAACCACAATATTGAAATATCAATTCTCATGCTGGGTTTCTTGCTTACTTTTATTTGTTAAAACCAGGAATTTATAGCGAATCAAACTTTTTCATCTAATGAAAATCACAAATTTGGTTTCTGCTTCTAAAGTGAAACAACAGCATTAAACAATTGTAACAACAAAGCAAAAACATGATAATTATACCATGAATTTTACTTGGCTTATAGAAATAAGTAGCACAACTTTGTTTATATCCTTAGTAATACTAAGTATAGGCGATGGCATATTCTAATCCATGACATCTCTACGAATTGATAGACAATGGTATATTCTAATTCTTTAGCAAAATCAAGACACCAACAAATCACCAAATGTGAACAAATTGAAACGTAATCATCTTTGCATTCAGCCACATGCCAACCATATCAAAAACTGCAACAGATCCCGATTATTATACGCCCAAAATAAACTATTTGTTAAAAAAATAAACAAAGAAAAAGAAAACAAGGGAAAAGAGAAGGAAAGGGGGCTGACCAGAATGAGATCGAATAGAGTGGCTTGATCGACTTTGACAAAGTCAGCATCCCAACTCTTAAGTTCGTCATCGGCGGATCGATCGTCAGTCTTAGGAGCCTCGACGTGCTTTTTGCAGTATTCAATGACCTTCGCTAGGATCTTACTGGTAACATTAGGCAACGGTATCCCGTTATCAGCACAATCGTCCTCGATCATATGCTTTATCGTCTGCGATTCCAACGCCACCGCTTCGTCAACCTCGAACGATTCGCCGTCCGAGCTCTTCAGTGTAATCTTCCTCCCTGACGACGACATGTTCGCTATCAATTTCTCAAAAGATTTGAAACGGGAATCGGCTAATTAGGGTTTTTTCCTTCTTTTTTATGGGGGAAGAAATTAGGGATATTTTATAGCGCGGGAGGAGGGGGAGGTCTTGGGAAGGGTCGGTTTCTTTATGAAACAGTTGCGATTAGAGACGTGGCGTCACTGTGTTCCTTAAGTTCTCATCGAATCAGTAAAACGTCGACACGTGTTATTCACGATGCGAAAACGGTCTGTTCAGCATTTGAATTTTAGCTTATTTAGTATTTGCGTTTTGAGGTGAGATTAGGAGCCTTTATCTCTTTCTTTCTTTTTTAATATTAAAGGGTAAACTGTACTATTAGTTCCTTTTATTTTTGGTATGATTGATTTTGGTCCCGATTTAAAAATTAAACGTGTTTCCGTCTTTTATGTTATCTTATGTTATCGATCCACGTCACGTGTCGTCGTCGTCTTCTTCTTCTTCTTCTCCTTCTTTTTCTTCTTCTTCGTGCGACCAGCACTCACAATGAAAGATTGAGAAAGACAAAAACGAAATCAAAATTGATTCAGAAACAAAACATGGGAAAAATGGTTTCATCTTCAATCCAATTGACAAGCTTTAGCTGAAACACCTCGAGAAGAGCTATTAAAGGATCTCTTGCAATGCAAGATGGCGCTTTGGATTCCATCATCTTGCTGCAACAGAGAATCGTCTCTCCTGTTTGACAAAACCGTCATCGGAGATATCGCCGCCACGGCGAAGGAAGCCGACCTACTCTTTCCCAGATGCTTACAAACCACTCTAATCCCTACCGGAATATTCACATATGCCTTCTCCGAAACCGCTGTATACGGTGACGTGATTGGTTTTAAAGACCCTGAAAACCTTAACTTCTCATCGTACCTTCTCGAAACCCTAACGTAGAGAGGCTTAACTTTGTTCAAGTATTTTCGCATTACATACTTGGAGAATTTCTTCAACCTCAACAAGAAAACTCGAAACTTGGTGACTGATTTCAACAACGAGACAGGGTATTGAGAAGGCTTTGAGTCTAAACAAGAGTTTGGCTCGAAGGAAACTAATCTCCCTTTAAAGAACAGATCATCGGAAGGAGATAGAGTTAAGTTGGGATCAGAACGATCGTCGTTGAGGAGAGTGCGAAATCGAACTCCCTTTCATCATCGGAGCAATCGTAATCAAATTTTGCGTCAATGTTGTAGTTTTGGTCCTCAATTTCTTCACCTGCAACATTGTTTCCTCCATCTCTATCTTCATCCGGAACCGCAAGTTCCAAGTCGAAGAAAGGCCTATCATCATCCCCGTCGCTGTCGTCACCACCATCTTTCCTATCCACCGCTGTAACAATCGTATCTGAGCTGCCAGAAGTGGCGGCGACGAAAGAGGCTGCATTATCAAAAGCATTACCACCATCTACAACGATAGTCCCGCCCCCTCTCCAATACCAAAGCAAGCTAAAAGCTTATGTGACTGGAATAGCCAGAATAGAGTAGAAAGAGGAAGAGTTAAGTTTTTTATATAGCTTTTCTTTTCGCAGTGAGAGAGAGAGGAGGTGGTACTTAAATTTTGTTTCTTGTTTAAAGATGGATTTTCTCAGGAACTACGGACTAATATACAATTAATATACAGCGTTATCAGATATATTAAAAGATATTTGATAAATTTAGTTTAACACTATCAGAAATATCGAGTAATAATAATGTAATAGGTGAAAATCATGAAGAAATATTAAAAATATTTGGCAACCGACAAACTTAGCTTGTCGGTTTGTGTCGATACTTTATAAAAATATATTAATCCATAACAATATAACAGGTAAAAAAATGACAAAATCGGTCTATAAATGACAAAACAGGTAAAGCGCTACCGGATATATTGAAAGTGTCGATACTTTATAAAAATGTATCGATCTATAATAATATAACAGGTAAAAAATGACAAAACCGGTCTATAAATGACAAAACAGGTAAAGCGCTACCGGATATATTGAAAGTGTCGATACTTTATAAAAATGTATCGATCCATAACAATATAACAGGTAAAAAAAATGACAAAACCGGTCTATAAATGACAAAACAGGTTAAGCGCTACCAGATATGTTGATAGTGTCGATACTTTATTATAAGTATCAACAATTTTAGAATTTAAAAGAGAATAAGTTATAACACTAATAAAGTGTCGATACTTTATAAAAATGTATCGATCCATAATAATATAACAGGTAAAAATATGACAAAACCGGTCTCGAAATGACAAAACCGGTAAAGAGCTATCGGATATGTTGAAAGTGTCGATATTTTATTATAAGTATCGACACTTTTGGAATTTAAAAGATATGTTGAAAGTGTCGATACTTTATTATAAGTATCGACACTTTTAGAATTTAAAAGAAAATAAGTTATAGCGCTAATAAAGTGTCGATACTTTATAAAAATGTATCGATCCATAATAATATAAAAGGTAAAAATATGACAAAATCGGTCTCGAAATGACAAAACCGGTAGTAAAAAAGTGTGTTTGTGTGATCATTTTTATTTCAGAATTTTTATTTTTTAATACAAAAATTTGAATATTTTAAACAAAACTCAGTAAGAAAATAACAAAAACTTTACAGTAACAACAGAATAACATTGGGAAACCCACCATATTATCAGTTTCTCAAAGAACAAAAACCCAGAAACAGACATCTCTCAACGCAAACTTATGATATACTCTTATTATCTCTATATGGAGGATAAAGTTAGGTCAGTTTTAGTTTTATTTTTTTGTTAGGATTTTGTGTCATTGAAATTGTTGATTGAAAAACTCAAACTGGTGCACGCATAAGTGTCGATGCATTTATGAAAAGTATCGATCCAAAAAACATCGAAATCGATAATTATTATGAAACAAGTAAATTTACAATGTAACCGGTAAAAATATACTGGTTAATTAGCAAATAGGTTTACATTATGTATCGACACTCTTTAAATATGTGTCGGTACTTTTTTCCCAAAATGAAAGCACAACAAGGTGCACGCATAAAGTGTCGATACATTTAAAATTGTATCAATCCCAAACACATCAAAACCAATAATTATAATGTAATAGGTAAATTTGTATTATTACCGGTTTAAATATACATGTTTAGTTAGAAAATAGGTCAATATAAGTGCTATCTATTACATTATATAAGCGTTACCTAATATATTATTGTACTTGATAATATTTCCGGTTAAATGATATAACATAACCGGTCTAAATTTTAACCGGTCACTTATTTAACAGGTCACGCCGCTTTTTAGCCGTCGCACAATAGAAGTTCCCGTTTAAGCTACTTCCTGGCAATAAGAAGAAGAAGAAGAAACGCAGTGTGTGTGTTTTTAAAATTTTTAATTATAACCTAACACTTCCGTCAAGAATTAACGAGAAATTTATGGTTATGGGACTAAAATTGAATGAATTAATAATATAAGAGTCAAAAAATTTTAAATTGATATTAGTATAGTTTAACCTTTAATAAAAGAGAAAATCGCCTCAGTGACCAAAAATGCCTTATAATATACGATTTTAACCAACTTTTTTTGGATTTTCCAAAATGACCAACAAAATCGCAATGCGAAATAAAAATCGCAACGCGATCTCCAGAATCGCAAATCAGTTCCCAGAATCGCAACGCGATTATGAAGAATCACAATGCGATAGTACAATTTCGCATTGCGATTTTCCATAATCGCAACGCGAATATGAAAATCGCAATGCGAACATATAAATCGCAACGCGATTCTGACTATCGCAACGAATATCCTTAAAATCGCAACGCGTATCCGTAAATCGCAACGACAATACGTAAAATCGCAACGCGTATCCATAAATCGCAACGAGAATACGTAAATCGCAACGCATATCTGTAAATCGTAACGAGAATACGTAAATCGCAATGCGTATCTGTAAATCGCAATGCCAATACGTAAATCGCAATGCGAATACGTAAATCGCAATGCGAATACGTAAATCGCAATGAGATTCTGACTATCGCAATACTGAATTTCAAATTCGCAACTCGATTTCTGAATTCGCAACAGGTTTTAATTTCGCAACACAAATGTTTTGGGTATATAACTACGCAGCAGCAACAACTCATAACCTAAATCCCTAAATCGCAACTCATTCCATCTCCATCTATCACTCTCTCCGACGACATCCGTTCCTATATCCAATGACATCCTTCCCCATCCGGCAACAAGTTTTAGTTTCGCAGCTCGTTTGTTTAGTAAATTAATTTACAATAATGAAATCATCTAATGTTGATTATGTTTGGATAGATTTGTGTTTTGGAGGGTCATGGGAGAATGTTCATGGTGTTTTACAATATATGTCTTTACCCATGAATCTTCAACTAAAACTGTCATTAAAAAAGTTAACTTATGAAACTCTAATGTTACGTGTTGAAAATAAATAGAATTTAGAGCCCCTAAGTGGATTTAGGCTATCTTATCAGAGAAATGGTAAAGTTTATTTGTCAACCGACAATGAAGATGTTTAACGATTCATTGCTTACATTAGTGTTTCAAGTGATGATGTTACATTGTATGTTGTTAAACCTAGAAGTAGTGAAGTTGGGTCAGTAGCGGGTAGTAATCAACTAAGTTTTTCAACCCCAGTTTATGGTACTCAAAATTTAATGGTTCCACCACAATTTCATCACCAAGCAAATATTGTTTCACCACATTTCCAATACCAAACACAATCTCAAAACCCACAACCTTTCCCTAATCCAAATCCCAATCAACTTTCAGCACCAAATTCTGATTTTCGTATTGACCAGTTAGACGATGATGAGCCAACAGAAAAAATTGTGAGTACTAGTCAGTATTCGAAATTTGATCTTGGTCAATACCCGTACTTTGATCTTGGTCAATACTCGGATTTTGATGATTTTTCAGAAGAAAAAACAGACCCTGCGTGTAATGATTTTGATATTGGTCAATACCCGAATTTTGATGATGAAACAACTGTTGCCGAGGAAGATTTTGTTGATGATAATGAGGAGGAAGTTACGCCTGTAAATGAACATGTTGAACATCCATTCTGTAATTCATATAACACCGAAGAAGAAAAATAAGAAGAAGAAATCCCCAAAGAAAAGTCCCCGAAGAAAATACCACGGGAGTATAACTGGAATATGCCAGAATTACTTCAGATACCGGAAGAAGAGTTGGTAAAGATAGCAGTTGATTGTTACACAAAATTATTCGTATCAAGAAAGATGATTGTTTTGATACAAAGGAAGACTTGAAGATAGCTTTGTATACGAAATGTGTGGAAGATGGCTATCAACTAAAAGTTAACAAATCAAGCAAAGATCGTTTCGAAACAAGGTGTATGATTGACAAAAACTGTATGTGGCGTATGATTGCAAAGAGGATAAAAGATTGTGAAATGTTTCAAGTTAGGACTTTTATTGATAAACATACATGTTCAAGAACCCAAGTTTTTCCTCACCATAGACAGGCAAACAAAAAGGTGTTGGGTGGTTTTCTGGCTGAGTTAATGTTTTTGAATGGTAGGGTATATCGGGGACATGAAATTATGACTGACATGAATGCTCGGTTCAAGATTAGTATCTCATATTCTCAAGCTTGGAGAGCCAAAGGTTATGCCTTGGAATTGTTGAGGGGGTCGCCAGAAGCATCGTTTGCCCAACTGCCGGCTTATTGTCACAATTTAAAGCTGAAAAATCCTGGGTCGGTAACTCATATCAAAACAGATAGAGATGGACGCTTTGAGTTGTTGTTTATCGCCATTGGTGCTGCGGTTAGTAAATCAATATAATTTTGTTGACTCATTTTTGTTAGTTACATGTATTTCATATTTAAATGATTATATTTCTTGTGTATATGATTTTGTAGATTCGTTCGTTTATTAATTGCATGCGCGCAGTTATTATAGTTGACGGAGCACATTTAAAAGGTCGATACCTTGGAGTAAACTTATTAGCAGTAGCCATGGATGCTAACAATGGGATACTGCCAATAGCTTACGGGGTTGGCAAATTTGAAACCTCTGATTCATGGACATGGTTCACGGGGCATCTTAGGGATTGCATATGTCCTATTAGCAATCTGACAATCATATCCGATAGGGCAAACTCAATTGACAACGCTGTTAGAAGGTGTTTCCCAGATGCTTTTCATGGACTTTGTGGTGTTCATTTGTATAGAAATCTAAAATCAAGGTCTGCTGGTATAAAAACTCACAAATGGACATACTGGAAGGCTGTAAAAGCTTATCGGGAAGTGGATTTTAATAAGCATATAAACTGTTTAAGACGTGTTTTGCCTCAGTGTGCTCAAACACTAGAAGATGTCGGGTTTGAAAGATGGTCAAGAGTACATCAACTTGGAGCAAGATATGGTTTCATGACGTCTAATAGTGCAGAATCAATCAACGCTCT